AGAGGTATTTAACTTCTGCTAATGGTGTAACATTGCAGTGGGTTCATGAAAGAGCAGCAGAAAGCAGCTTGCAGATTGAGAGAATTGATTTTTGAGGTCCAGATGTTAAATATGTATGGTTTGACACATGAAGATGTCAGAATATATATCTGCAAATATTTATAGATGTGCTGGGAATATTTAGCATAAGTGAAAAGGTTTACAACTGGGAGAAGTCAGATGAGGACTCTTCTTGGAATTTGTGGAAAGGCCTTTTGCCAGTAAGGTGGAGAAACTGACTTAATCATCTGAAGTTAGTACTGAGAAGTCCATTTTTAGATAATTTATTAAAAATTAAAGAGACCATACTGAAGACACAAGAGCATCAACAAAGGTGGTGTAGATCATTGTTCTGCTGTGCAGCTCTTTGTGCTGGTCAGTAGGTTTTGGAGAACAGGGTTGTCATCTGTCACACCATTGTCACCAGAGCCAAAGCTTCTCTTCCCTTCTCTTCTCCCATTGCTCATTGTGTAGCAATGGCTGCTCAAAGAAAACAGAAGAAAAGAAAAGAAAAGAAAAAAAAAAAAAAAAAAAAAAAGGGGATCTGAAAATACTCCATGACTTCAGTTGATGGGAAAGGGAGATGAGTCAGGATGCAGAAAACTTGCCAGCCCTCCTGAGAATTTCTTGTTTAAAGTGACTTTTAAACTAAGCTGGAGACAGAACTGCAGAGATTGTTCACTGAAGTGAGCCATCATTGCAGCTGCATTTGGGGTTTAATTCTGTGTTCAGTGTTACTGAAGAATATCCTCAGCTGTCATTTCAAGTAATCACAATCCTCCTGAAAGAGATTTTTAGATCACAGTGTCATTGTCACTTGCCTAAAGTTCCCATGGCCCCAGTTTTGTGACTGTTTTTGGAACCATAACTGGCATTGTAAGATTTTAAAAATACAGCATGATTCATTGTGCTGCTAACTTTTGCTTGTGCTGTGTTCTCAATTCTACAGTAGATGATAAGAGAAATTCATTTATACACTAAATCTCTAAGACATTGTTGAACTAACTCAATTTTCAATTAAAAAAAGATTTCTTAATTGTTTTTTGATATCAGCATTGACTTAAATTTGTAATTCTGAGGTGTTCAGATATTTTCAGTCTGCTGAAAATATTTCCTCCTAATTCTAGTGTTTTACCTCTAGAACCTTCTGCAGTTTTGTGTTACTTGTGAAAGAAAATCTTGAACATGACATCTATGGAAAATTTTTCAAAAGCAAGCATCATGAACAAATCAGGAAGATTATTAAAATGGGAAAATTTTTTGAGTGCTGTGATTTTTTGGTAGGCTGAGCTTTTGGACCAGACTTCCTTCCTTCCCATTAGATGGGAAGAAGAGTCAAACCCTCTCATGAACTTTTGTTCTGCATCCTGGTGTCTGTTCCTGGGCCAGCACAGCTGGTGATGGTTTCATGTTGTGTGTCTGACACCATCCTAAACCACCAACCCACCCCACCCAAGCAGAAACTGATTCATTCTGCATGTGTTCATCCCAAACCTTCAAAAGGGGCTGGTTACAAATAATGACCCCTAAAAAAGACTGGGAAGCCACTGGTGACACTTCAGAATGTTGGAACTGTTGGGGGATGCTGTTCTCTGCCTTCTCTGGGATGAATGGTAGCTAACACCTACTTAACTAAACTTAGAGGACTCAAATTCCACCCTCCTCCACCAAATAAATATTTAGTGTAAACTATTACATGGTGGTGGATAGTTTGGGCAAGGGAGAAGAAATTGTGTGTATATGGGCAAGTCTTTCCCAGTTCCAGAAATCTGTGGCTTAGGACTGGGGTTTCTCTGCCAAACATGTCAGTAGGGCATTATGGTTTATAATGTAATCAACTTTATTATTATTTTGAGTGGTTTAAGGGTTTTTTTGTAAGCTGGCAGATTTTAGAAAAAACTGATTTACATAGTGTTGAGGTCAGCACAAATGGTCTAAGATTTGGTCAATTGCCTTCAAATCCTTAAAACAATTTGATGTTTGAAATTTTCTGGTAAAGAGCTTGGTTTAAGCAACACATTTCTGACTGCACTTAAATGTAGGAATTCAGCAAAATCTTACTGGAGTTCCTTTATCAAACTTGCATGAATATGATTTGCCTCTTAAATCTCCTTTACTGACACTGAAATAAGTTCTGTAATTCCAGTCTTGCAAAGGCTGGCCTTCTGTATGTTCTGCTGGAGGAAAAATTGATACTAATTTTTGGCTTTCTTGTTAATTCTTTGTTTTCCTGGAACTTTCCTAACTCAGCATCATGAGTTCTACATAGTCCTACTGATTGCAGAATGTTAAAGAACAAAAAAGGAAAAAACTTCCTGCTAGTTCTCAGATCTTCAGCAAATTGTTCTTTAATAATGCCACGGTTTCTTTTTTTCCTTTTTTTTAAATTTTTTTTTGGCATTACATCTGATTTTCCACAGCTGATGCTTTCTTGGTTTCCTTACTTGGATGGAGCTTCTGTTTGAAGCTTCCTGTTTTAATAAAAAAAAATAAAATTAATCTTTAATTGTGTTTGGTTTTCATTGCTGTAATAGTCTCTTTGATAATGTCCTGTATTTATTCTGAAGATCTAGTGCTACCTTTTCCTACAGTCTTAACGTTACTTTCCATTATTTCACACTAATATCTTTTTCTTCTAAGTTTTCAAGGTACTGTAATAATTCTGTAACTTCAAGTTTTATATTTTTTTACCTAAAGATTTCCCTTTAGAATTTACTTAAAATTACAAGGAAAGAATGATTTTTTTCCTATATGTCTCTTTTGTGCAGTGTTGGAACAGGAGGAAATAAATGTCGTGGTGATGAATAATTTTCAAGAATTCCTATTTGGGAATTTTTAAAATCAATGTTGTTTAGTCCTGAAAGGCAGCTGCTTGTGTAGGTCCTTTGTGGCATGATTTGTTTTATTTGCAAAACTTTGGCTTTGCTGCCATAAGATACTGCAGGAGGCTTGAATGTTTTTTGTTTGGGTTTGCTGTGGCAGAAATAACAAATTCCTTCCACATGAAGTTTTTAAAACTAATCTGCACTGGAAGTTGCTCTTCCAGACCATCACCTTGTATCTGCTGTAGAGGCAGAGTTTGTCTGAGACTTCACAGGTCTCTGCCAAAGATGAGGTCAAAGCTGATAAAAAAATAAATAAAAAATAAAAGCTGTTCCCCCTTTTCTTTTCCATTCCTTCCTGGCACTGCCCTCCCAGTTATTTCTTTCTTGTGAGTTCTGAGGAAGGAAGTTTCTAACAAGAGCCACATCTCCTTATCTCTTCTAAATTCTTAAGTTTTGACAAGTTTGCTTCAGGCACTCAGCTGCCTCCCTGCATCCCCCTCTATACTCAGTAGTCATTGGAGTTTTACAAAGAGAGAGAAATCTCTTAAAATATATATTAAAAAAGCCTCCACCCCCACTTTTGCTTTTTTTAATTTTTCCTAAGAGACTTGATCCTGACCCCAGCAGTGCTTGCTTGTCCTGCAGTGCCTGGCTGCAGGTGACATTATTGTCACTTGATGACCTCAACCTCCACCTCCTGGGCTTGTCCTGGGAGTGTTCCCAACCCAAGGCTTGGCAAAACATTTCCTCCTCTGTGTGCTCTGCAAGGGACTTCTTTGATTTTCAGAACAGAGTTGTATTATGGACCAGAGAACCTATTTCAGAGTAGAGCAGTTCTTAAACTCTTGTACCTCTGGGTTTAATTGCCTTTGGAATGGCATTTCAGTTCAGTTGTAAACTACTGTGCTGTAAATATAAATATGTGTTTTTGGTTGCTCTAGACACACAGCTGTAGCTTGATCATTAACATTGAAGGATGACTCTGACAACTTTCACCAATATTCCTCTTTCTTCCCTTTTGGGGATATTTCTGGGTTGTTCAGTAGCCTCTTGGGAAGTTTGGAATTAAAGATAGATTGGTAAAGTGTTATTGCAGCTGTCTGATAGTATTTGGCATTTTGGTACCTGGTTCCAATAAATTTTCATGTGTATTGTATTTTTGTCATCAATGCTGCTATTTCTGCTTATTCTCACAAAAAAGAAAAGGTTGTAAATTAAAATAAAGTTTTCCAGAATCTTAATTTGAATAAAATAATTGAAAATATTAACACTTAATTGTATTAAATAATAAATTATTATTTTTATTAGTATTAACATAATAAGAATGGTGACTATTATAAAATAATAATTACAATGAAAAGGTTTATTGGAATTAACTTTTGCAGTAAGGTTTCTATTCTACAACTATGATTTTCTGAGGTTACCAGAAATGCAATTGGTGTATTTCTATCAAGTGTATCTGGGGAAATTTGAATTTGAAGGATAGTAGCCAACAAATGTTAAGTTTTTCTGTGAGAAGTGCCTGTGTTTGCCTGTCCTACAGAGGTGGGAGAGTTCTTCTCAGAGAAGTTCCTATCCAAGTTAAGTGCTCCCTTTGCCAGCTTGTTTTGGTCTATAGACAAGCCATGGAAATGGAATTTCTCCTTTATAATGAACTTAAACCAATTTAAATTTTTGCTGGCAAATTTGTGTCTTAAAGAGGTAATGTCAAGATAATTTAAAATAATGCAACTCTTAATAATGCAACTCCTTTTTTTTTTCTTTTTATGGGAAGGCTTAAAGAACTGAAAAATGTCTGTGGCTTTCTCCACAGAAGTGAGCATGAAAGCTGCAAAGTGAGAATATAGAGAGGTGAACAAATGCTGTGGGGCCTGATATTGTGCAGGGCAGAATTGTCATGGGACTGCTTCTCTTTAGGATGTACCCTTGTGCTTAACTCTATCAAAAAAAAAAAAATCTATTTTTACAAAGCTTGTTTTTGTAAGGATGTTCTTACAATTGGAAGAGGAGATAAAACCTCTATGTGAATGTATGTATTCTTTGTATATATATTTATATCCATATATAAATACTAATTTTGATAAACATACAATAATATCATCACTGAAAAGGTGTTTTTTCCCTCCATCTGAACAGCACCAGGCAGTGCCACCTCCTTCTTGATGTCTTCAATTCCACAGAGCATGAGCTGACCATCAGTGCCAGGAACAACGAGGATTTAATTCTGCACGCCGGGGAGTGCCAGCGGTGAGTGCTGCCACTGCCAAAGGGGCCCAGAGTTAGCCCTGGTGTTGTCCTGTACACAATTGATGACATTTAGGTGCCTGTTGTTCTTTTTAAACATTGTACACATGTTAAAGAATACAAAAGTTTTCTTTCTTGGAGGTGCATCACTAAGTTTTAGCAATATCTCAAGTAAATTTATTTTGGCTCTTCATGTAGTGATACTGGAAATAATGAAATACAAAGCAGTTGGTACTGAGGTGTACAGCTCATTTAACTTTTGTAGAGTGTTTGAATGTAATTTCCATGTGCTCTGAATGTAATCCTGGTGTTAAAACCTGATCTCAGTAGTTTGTTATCCCTTCCCACTTTTAAATTTTCTTTATGTGGTTCCCCAGCCATTTCCTCACTTTTCCTACAAAGAAAACTCCAGGAAAGAAAAATAGAATTGAAGAAAAAGCAATTCCAGTCTCTGTGGGAAAATATATTTCAGATCAAGCAGGCTGTTGTGGGTATTGATTCTTACAACCCTACTAGAGTGATGTTCAGCTCATTATTAACCATTATTTGCCATTACACACCTGCCTCAGGTTCCTGCTGCTGGCTGTAGCCCAGGGCTGCCTGATTCATCTCCTTCAGGTGATCATTGCATCTGAATTCCAATTTCATCCTGGAAAGGTGATAATGTGGACAAGTGGAAAGGGGTATCTTGTTTTTGGGCTCCCTGCACTGCTCCCCTTCCCTGGGAGAGTTTAAGGCCTGCAGCTCAGAAACTTGGTTAAAGAGAGATGTTTTGATGTCTGCAAATCCCTGGCTGAATATTAAGTTCAAAGTCAAACCATGTTAATTGCAAGGAATGCAGCTGTCAAAAAGAATTACAGAATAGGTAAAATAGCAGCACATTTGAAATCCTTTTTGCCTTGGTGACTCCCAAAGCACAACCAAGTGGAAATGTGTTGACTCAAACTCAGGTTGAATTTTACTTTACCAAGCAATGGACAAAACCATCAGTAACATACAGTGCTTCTTCCTTTTATTTGGAAAGAATTGCCTTTTTTCTTTTCTAAAAAGCAGTCTAAATAGTTATTGTATTTGCTGGGAATGTCCTGACAAAGGCAGGAATGATGAATCTGACTCCATGTTCTCAGAAGGCTAATTTATTACTTTATAATACTATATTATATTAAAAAATACTACACTAAACTAAACTAAAGAATACAGAAAAGATACTTACTCAATGCTAAAAAGCTAATAATGAAAACTTGTGACTCTTTCCAGAGTTCTGACACAGCTTGGTCCTGATTGGCCAATGAGTCAAAACAACTCACAGCAGAATCCAATGAAACAATCACCTGTGGGTAAACAATCTCCAAACACATGCTACACATGAGCAAAACACAGGAGAAGCAAATGAGATAAGAATTGTTTTCCTTTTTCTCTGAGGCTTCCCAGTTTCCCAGGAGAAAAATCCTGGGCGAAAGGATTTTATCAGAGAATGTGAATGCTATAAACAGTCACCAAAATATTCTTGTTCCTATCTATATTGTTCTATAGTTTTATCTTCATTCCTCTTGGTTTCTTTTGCATTGTTTTTGTAGTTTTAAAACCCCTGGAAATTTTTCATTCCCAGTTTTTGGGACAATATATAACAGATAGAAATTAGGCTACAAATCACGTTATAAAATTTCTTTGCATCCCTTTGACTGAATTTCATTTCCTATGGATTTAAATTTAAATATATTTAAATCATTACATTGTAATGGATATAAACCCTTTCAATAAGTCTTTTGAAACAGTCATTTATCAAAGGAGATTGTATATGTGTTGCAGGTATTTAAACCCTTAAAGTTATTTTTATACTTATTGCAAAAACCGTTTTTCATGTTAGTTAGAAATTGCACAGTTTTCCATTGGTTCTAGACTCATTTATTATCTATTTCTTGAAGGTAAGTGCTTTTCATTGTAAAACTGTGTATATGGCTCCTATGTTGGCATGAACTTTAATTTTAATTCCAATAGATCTACTACAGAAAAGCAGGTGAAACATACACTGGGCTATAAAATAAGCTCCCTGCTCCTAGGAAAAGGCTTCTGTTGCCCTTTGGTGGGGGGGAGGAAAGAGAAAAAAAAAGGAGAAATCTTTTCCCTTTTAAAGCAATGGCTCCAGATATTTGCTTTTTAATACAGGGCAGGCATTCCCTGCAATCTGCTTTTGAACCAAGGTTTTCAACCCAAGTATACCAAGCTTTTCAACACATCCCTCTTCTTTTGGAGTCTCCTTTTAGGAATTTTTTTTTCCTTTGGATATTGTTATTAATACCAGATTAATATTTCAAGAGAGGCTTTTCAATCAAGTTCATTATTTCTTTCATTTCCCCTGTACCTTTTTTGATGCTGCCCTCATTCTTAATGTTTGCCTCATTCTACCTTTATTGAAATTACGACTTTTTGCCAGCTTTGGTCATTTTCTCTTCCTTTTGTAATTTACTCTGTCTCCATTCATCACCCTCACTTTGAAATCTCCCATCCTGACAGAGTGGAGGTAGCAGGAAATTGTTTTCTTTGTCCCTTTTGTTATTGCTGGGGACTCTAAGTGTTTTCATATTCTCTGTCTCCAGACTCACACAGAAGGATAATGCTGCATCCTGCTTACTCTGGCCTCTTTTGCTTCCCACTTTGGATGCTTAAAAGTAAAATAACTTGGAAATTTTGATGTGTTGCTTCTCTTCTCTATATTACAGAGTGGTCTCTATAGAATGTAAGTTTTTCCCTCCTGAGAGGGAATTTGTAGGGGATTCTTTCATTGCTCCCATAGAAAATGGGGAATCCTGATGGGTGCTGCACTTATTAGAACACTCTCTATAATATAATTTGATTTATAATGAATCTGTACAATTGACCATGGTGCTGGCAATGGGAAGGGTGAGGAGATCAAAACAGAAATGCCAAAAAAAGTTTGGGATTGTCAGCAGATCAGTGCTGGCACTGCCAAACCTTTCTGAGCCCATCAAGAGGAGTCCCTGGGATCCATTTTGTAGTATCCACATTATTTGGTCCATATTATACCCTGTCCTGTTTTCTGTCTTATTTGTATTCATGTAAAATGAATCAAATGTGTAGAATGCTGCACAATATTTTTATTTTAAGGTCTGAAAGGCAGTTTGCTTCAATTAACTTAGAGACAGGGCAATAATAGCTGCTACAATAACACTGCATATGTCAGGAAAAACTGGTATTATACTAGTTAGGAAAAGTGACATCCTTTAGGCCATTAAAAGACTATCTGGAAAATAGATGCCTTTTTCTACAGTTTTTCTACAGTAAGACTATTCTGCTGACTAGGGAAAATTATCATTTTAGCTTTCAGAAAAGCTTAAATTTACAATTTGCTGTACTTTTTATGCCAATAATTTGGATTATTTACTGTGTGCATTGTAGCTCTTCTTGGAGATATATATAAGCAGTGTTTCTGGGAAGTGACACTCTTCTCCCTCTATTTTAGGATAGAGAAACATTTTGCTCCCTGTCATTTTTATAGTCAGAAATGATAATTTGGGCTCAGTGATTATTTTGTTCGCTCATCTTTCTGTCTTTCATCATTGCTTGTTTTGCAGACAAACAAATGAAAGGATCAGCCTTTTTTTTCCCCTATATCCCAAGATGTTAATTAGAGACTTCATATTCCCATCTCTGCTTTCCACATGACTTGAAATGTTCCTTCCTATCCCATTGTGGGACAATTAGTGACATGGTTTAGTCTGAGGTCTTTTTTTCCCACGATATTATGATGGAGAGAGAAGAAAACCAAGATTTCTTTGGAGTAGAGAAGGAAAAGACAGGAGATTTGTCCTCCCTTTCCTGTGAGGTTGGTTGAAGAAAACAGAGGAGCAAGTTTTGGATGGTTGTTTCTTGAACTCCTGAAAATAATTTTAGGCTTCATTGCAAAGCCAAATTCCAACTCAAGTTTTGCTTTACACCTGCAGGAGTTTTTTTAAACTTCGATATCCACAGGGAAATGCACTTGGAGACCTGATGAAAAGATGTCAGCCAAGTTACTCTGTGGAAGTTCTGGCTGCAGTGAGTGGTGCTGAGGTGCTGGCAATGTCTTCAGCTAAGTTCAAATGTCACCCAGTGCTATCAACATGTTTTGTTCACCTCTCCAGTGGAACACATGACATGTGATGATGATGATGAGGGAAGCAAATTCTCTCATGTCTGCTATTGGAAAGCTCAGCCTCCAGAGATTTTTTCTGGACTAGCTGAGTCTCCAATTTCTTGAAGGAGAATAAAAGCTGTTTCTTGCAGCAGTCAGCTGCACTGTTAAAGGAGTTTTGCAGTGAGCAAAGTGCAAGTGTTTTGAATGTAATCAGTGGGAAATCTGAGCTTGTTTATCCCAGCAATGAGGTAATCAACAGGTTGTTCTGACATGGTAAAATATAGCAGACAGCTCTTGGAGGGAATTGAATTAATGTCTGTGAATAAAAAAGTGTTGCCACTAACAGTGATCTGAATTTATTGAAAAACCCTAGGTATGGTAATTATTGTGTTTCTTACTTGATTATCAAACCATTAAAATTAAATTTCATGACAGCCCTCATTTATGCCTAAATCACTTCATAATTTATGGTAATAGATGTAATCTCGTTGTGTGCCCCAGGATATCTCATTTTGTACCACACACCCTGCCTTGCCTTCCCATCCCCATTCTGTGCACTGGGGGAAGATTGATGCTGGGGAGGGTCTGAGCAGATCAATTCTCTCCTCTGTCCTTGTGGGACAGCACAGCTGGGCTGCTGCAGCCTTCCCCATGTGTGGCACTGCACAGCTGGGCTCTGCACAGTCACACATTGCATTTTTCAGCCTGTTCTGCCCTTGGTGTGAGGACCATGGGGATTAAAGCTTGGGATGCCCAGGACAGGACTGGTGTGAGGAGCTGAGAGATGAAGAGCAAACAGGACAGGTCGTGGTAAATGAGGAAATAGTTCTGTTGGTAATTCAAATCAGAGAGGCTTTTGTGCAAAATT